GACAGCCTTCGCTTCGGTCGCACGGTTCCTGCGGTCACCAGAGCAGCCCAGGAGACACGGGAAGTCTCCCCGCGGTGGCCCTCGAACAGGCAGATAATCCGCCGGGAAAACACCTTTCACCCACCGCGTATCACCCGCAAACCACTGTCTGAGACGAGTCAGACTCCGCGTAATGTGAAGACTTTCAGTTAGCCCGGCCGTGTGGCTCAGTGGTGGAGTGTCAACCCAGGTACCAAAGCTCACCGGTGCGACCCCAGTGAGCGGGGGAGGGGGCAGGGGGGAGAGGCAGGAGGCAGCCGTGGAGGATGTTTCTCCATCCTCCTCCCTCCCTCTCTCTGAAAATCAATAAAAACATATTTCTTAAAAAAATTAACCATTATTTTTTTAGAGGAATGACAGGGTATCGCTGTGTCTTGGGAATTGAGTTTTTAGGACCAGGGAGGGCTTGGGGGAACCTTCTGGGTGGTGAGGTTCTGGATCTCCCCGGGAACCGCGTGGCACCCCGCTTTTCAGAACTCACCGAATGGAGGTTTAAGGCCGTGGTTTCCCTGCATGTAAGCTACCCCCCGCCCAGAGTGAGTCTGGTTTGTAACGGGCAGCGGGGTGCTTAGGGCGGAGTGCTTAGGAGCAAAGCACCTCCACCTCCTTCCTTCCATGCGGGGCAGCCCCATCCTACAGGCCCCGCCCCATCCTACAGGCTCCACCCCGTCCTACAGGCTCCGCCCTATACTACAGACTCCACCCTGTCCTAAGGCTCCGCCCACCCTACAGGCTCCACCCAGTCATACAGGCTCCACCCAGTCATACAGGCTCCGCCCCATCTTACAGGCTCCGCCCTGTCCTAAGGCTTGGCCCTGCGCAGCCCCTCACCTGTTACCAAGATTGTGGGAAACCTCAGAATTAACTTTTCAAGTTCATCTGCTGAGAACAGCAAAGACGCCTCGGGAGGGGACCCCACTGGAAGGAACACAGATTAAGAACTGACGTCCCTAAAGGGGAGGGCCTGGGGACATGGGAGCGCAGGTCACAGGAGAGCGGGCCTCTGAAGGGGGAAGGAGACGCACAGCAGTGGGGAGGGAGGGGTCCGTGGGCTCGGTGTCTGCTGAGTGTCCCAGACCACGTCCACGCACAGCCTCTCCTCCCGCTGCAGCCACGCAGTGCCAGCAGGGAGCGTGAGCTCGGGGGAAGGACCACCCAGGCCCCTCCTCGGCCCACAGCGCCCCGCAGCCACTCCGGTGGGAGCGGACGGCTTCGGTGACACTGGGACACCTGGCCCTCCCAGTCCCGCGGGGACAGCGGGGTTTCCGGGGTATGTGCATGCGAACTTGCAGGAGGCCAGGTGAGGAGGCCGGGGTGGGCCTCCCACTGTCGCTGAGCCAGGCATCACAGGCAAAAGCGAACAACGCCCTTTGCCCATGCTTTGTCTGGGAAATGTGTTCATGGGGCCTCAGCGAGCTGTTCTAATGTTAAAACGCCCTCCGCTTTATGAGATGATGGCCACAAAATCGACTTCAGCAGAAGCTCTTTGGGGTCCTCAGCGACTTAAGGATTGTAGGGAGTCGGGAGCCCAGGCTTGAGGACGGCCTGTTTGCCACCCAGGGGTCCCCAGCAACCAGCACCCCCATGTGTGTGACAATGTGACCGTGCACGGGGTACCTGCCAATGCCAGGGGGCGCTGGTGCAGCGATGGCACCACGTGAGCCCCCGGTGAGCGGCCGGCCTGGCACGCGCAGGGCAGTGCCGGGATGGCAGGCCGGGATGGCAGTGCCGGGATGGCAGGCCGGGAGGAGCGGTCGGCCGGAGACAGGAAGTTGGAACTGCGTCACACACACCCACAAAGCAACAGGCGGAACACGCAGCACATGACACGGACAGGTTAGTGTCTTTAATGCACAAGGAGCACACACAATGGATCGGACCCGTCCGTGAGCGCAGAGGACGGACCACCCACCAGAGGAAACGCTGCGGGAGGGAGGTGTCAGACTTCGCCAAACACAGACGTGCCAGCCACACACAGGCTGGCTCGTCACCGTCAGGTCGGCGGTGACAGCCCGATGGCAGCGCCCGCTGGCCCAGCGGCAGGGTGGCGGCCGTCCCGCTGGGGCAGGGCCATGGGACACCTGAGGCCGGCTGCCCTCGGCTCCCTGTCATCACAGCCCCGCCCGTCTGCCAGGGACAGCGGAGGCAGAGGTCCACGTCCACTGTGCGTGAGGAGTGACCGCAGTGACCGCAACCCTGCCGCCCCCGACGGCGCGGCTCCCAGTTCAAAGCGCAGGCGGGGGCACAGGAGGGAGCGGACCAATTCCAGAATGGCCAACCTCACCTTCCCCTCCGCTCCCGATCCCGATCGTTCAGACCTGGGCGGTCTCCTGCTTCCGGAAAGGAGTCAGCGACTCAGTGAGGAGCGGGTGCCCCTCTGCCACACCTGTGCCTGCCAACGCTGCCACGCAGTGTTGGGACGGAGGTGGCACGGGAGAGGCAGCTGCTGGGTGGGTGACACGGGAGAGGCAGCTGCTGGGTGGAGGGGACACGGGAGAGGCAGCTGCTGGGTGGAGGGGACACGGGAGAGGCAGCTGCTGGGTGGAGGGGACACGGGAGAGGCAGCTGCTGGGTGGAGGGGCTGAACCCGGCTCCTCCTCCCTCCCGGAGCTCAGCTCCTCCTCATGTCACTGTCTCTCAGCTTCTGAGCGAGCGCTTCCCAAGCAGAACCCACAGGCTCCGAGACCCGTGGCCGCAGGTAGAAGGCGCCTGCGGGGGGGGGGGGGGGGGGGGGCCGCTCCCACTAAGCTCCACTCACGGCCTGTGGCCCCAACACGTGACCCTCACACCATCCCAGCACCTGCCCCCCCCCCGCCCGCCCTGATACCTGCCAGCCCTCCCTGCAGGCCGCTCTCCGTGGCTGCCAGGGTGCTGGTCACCCAGTGGGCGGTGTGCCCGCGTCTGGAGCGTGTGTACTCTGCCTCCTGCTCCCTCCTCCCTGCTCACCTGGCACCGGGCGGCCTCTGCCCCTCCTGCAGGTCAGGAACCTGCGGGACTTTTCCCCAGGAGCCACCTCCTCTGAGCCCGCCCGGAGGGTGCTGGCAGGAAGGAAGCTCACCTCCCCGGGCTCATGGGGACCAGAGAGCAGCACAGCGGAGCCGGCACCGCCATGACGCAGCTCCTCCCGCATGAGCAGCCGCGGGGCCTTTACCAGACCAATGCAGCCCTTCAGCCGAGAGCCTAGCCCACAGCGCGCACAGCGCTTCCCCACCCTGACTGCCGCCGCCACGGCCCCGCCCGGGCCCCCCCTGCTGGGGACGGGGCCTCCCTCTGGAGCCGCGGGCTCCGTGCGGCTGCTTGGAGTCCAGGGTGGGTGCCCTCAGCTCCCCACCTGCTCGTCCCACAGCCGCAGGAAGCGGTCAGGGTCACGGACGTGCGGCAGCACCGCCCACACACCGGGACGAAACGCACCGGGACCACAGCCGACGAGGCGAGCGGCAGCCGGGCTGGCACACCCGCGGGCAGAGGGCCCGGTGACGGCCGGGGCGGCCCGCGTGCCCCGCCCACGGCTCGTCCTGCTGTGAGCGGTGTGACGGACGGGACTCTGCAGCTGCCAGCAGGATGGGTACAAACCACGGAGCCCTGGGCTGCTGAGACAGAGTGCCCGCCTGCCCCCTCTGGGTCTCCCACCCTGGCTGGGCCGGGCACCCAGGAACCTTCCAGGTATTAACCCACGGGCGTCCTTTCCCAGGTGCCACTGCACCCCTCCTCTGGGCCCCTGCACTGGCAGACGGGCGGGCAGCAGAGAGCCGAGCACTGAGAGTGAAGGCACACCCCCGGGTGCCGCCCCGGAATCGGGGCTCCCCTGTGGCCCCCGGCATGCTGATGAGCACCATGTCCCCTGGGCGCGGGGTGGACGCAGGGCCTGGGGCCTGCGTGCAGGCAGTAGATTAGCGGGGCGATGGGCTAACGGGGTGAGTGGAGGCGATGACCCCGAGCAGCAGCCGCTGCACACCCCTGGCCTTGCCAGGCGGGGCTGGTCAGGCCGGGCGCTGTCCCCGCGTCACTGACACTCAGGAAGCCGGATGGCCCAGCGCCCGGCCTGGGTGTCCTAAGGCCTGTCTCTGGGCGGGGGCAGCGGCCGCTCTGCAGCCGGGCCAGGGCAGGGGCGGAAGTGCCAGGGTACGACACCCCCCGGCCCCCCACGTCCAGGCGGCCGGGGGAAAGTCAATGGAGTCTGGCTGGGATCCAAACATGGCGGAGCCTCACCCCCAAGTGACTTCTGGGCGCCGGTGAGGAAGTGTGAGGCCGTCCCCCGCTGAGGCCGGCTGTCCCTCAGGCCTGCGACGTGAGTGTCCGCTGCCGACAGTGAGGACGGGGTAGTCCACCCAGGCCCGGCCGGTCCCCAGGGCCAAGGCCCCTTCCCACAGTGCTCCCAGACGTCCATGTTCTCTGGACGAAGCTGGGCAGCTGATGGACAGCCAGGCCAGGGGCTCTGAGACCTGGACGTGCTGTGGGGCCGAGGTGCTGAGCTGAAGGCCACTTGTCACTGAGAGGAGGGACCAAGTGACGCGGACGGAGGAGGGGTCACTGCGCCAGCGGCTGCGGCCGTTCCCCTGGAGGTCCAGGCGGTGGAATGAGCCGGGTGTCCAGGCTTCAGCCGGCAGAGGGGCTTGGGCACCACGTGCTGCAAACGCGAGAGCTGAGGGAGCTGCCCAGCGGTCCCAGTCCGTCTCTTTCTTCCGCCGGCAGCTTCCAGCCCGGGAGTCCCCGCCGCCGAACACACAGCTGAGCCAGGCCCCATGGAGGGCACCCTCCAGTGTCTCCCTTCCCCGCATTTCCGGGCGTCCCAGTGGCATCGGGGGCACAGAGATCTCGATGTCAGGGCAAAGGGAAGCGTGCCCCCAAAGTGCTGGAGCCACCCTCCCAGCAGTGACCACGGGGCCGCCAAGGACAGCGCTGCCTGCCCCTCGGGCCCTGGCAGGACCGCGGTCACTCGTGGCAGGAGGCCAGGCTCTGGGTCCAGGTCCCCACCAGCCTGGGCACAAGGCCTGTGTCGGTGAGAATGGGCCGCCAGGTGGGAGCTGCAGGGGCGGAGGGAGCATCTGTGGGGCGGGCTGGGAGGGTAGGCGGCAGGAGCAGGAAGCGGAGGCCTGGACAGGAGCTGAGCTGTGGACACAGAGGAGCTGGCATTGCAAGCATGAGGGAAGCATGCACCGAGGCGGGGACACAGCTAGCACAACCACGAGGAAGGGAGGGGTGCCGGGGAGCCCACCGGGGTGCAGAGGGACCGTCCGGAGAGGCAGGCAGGCAGGCGGGAGGCTTCTAGAGAACGATTCTGCTGCGGGGACACCTCTGCGCGCAGAGGGCGCTGCTCCCGAGCGCGTTTGCAGATGCAACCAGGCCGGCGGCGGCTCCTAAAGGTTCCGAGCCCGGGCGGGCAGGGTGGGCGCCGGGCCGGTCCCGCTGGCAGCGGGGTGCACGGGGCAGGGGGGTCCCGCGGCAGCCGGCTGGCGGCCCGGCACCTGGCGCTCCCGCCCGGCGCGATGGGAGGCGGAGGCCTTCCGGGCGTGGGCGCGCCGCGCGCGGCGCAGCGGGGGCTTGTAGGTCCGGCGCAGCTCGGCCAGGAAGGCCTGGTAGTCGCTCCGCAGCGGGCTGCCGGGCTGCATGTGCGGGGCGGCCCAGCGCTCGGCCGCCCCCGTCAGCCGCGACACCAGGAAGGCCACGCGCTCCGCCTCGCCGGGGAAGCGCGAGGCCTGGAAGATCATGAAGCGGTCCATCTGCATCAGGAAGCCGGCCAGCTGGCCCGGGTCCCCCGCGAAGGGCTCGGGCAGCGAGGTGGGCGGCGTGGTGAGCGGCCGGGCGCCGCCGGAGGCCATGGCGGACACGGGCGGGGTGATCTGCAGCGCCCCGGGGACGCGGGCGCGGGCGCGCAGCAGGGCCAGCTCGGCCATCACGCCCTCCAGCATGTGCGTGAGGCTGGCCTTCTCGGCGCGCAGCGTGGACGCCTCGCGCCGCAGCGCCGAGTTGGTGAGGCGCAGCGAGGCCAGGGTGTCGATGACGTCGTCCACCCGGGCGCCGGCGGCGGCGGGGGCGGGGGGCTCGGCCTTGGACGTCTGGGGCTGCACCATGTTGGCGGAGGTCGCACCCGGACGGGTGGGGAAGGGCCTGGTTTGGGTGGCCCGGCACCGGAGGTCCTGGGGTGCTGGGAGTGGGTGCACCCGGACAGGGTGCGGGGACAGGTGGGGTTCAGCCCGGAGGGAAGGCGGGGCGGACGGATCCAGCCGGAGGTGACGCCCCGCGGCCCGGCGGGCAGGTGGTCAGGCCTCGGGATCCCGGGCTCCGGCTCCTCTACCGCGGGCCTCGCCGGGCCGGCGCCCGCACGGGAGGCGGGCTGGATCCGCGGCCTGCGCGTGGAAAGAGGCTTTTTAAAGGGTTTCCGTTGCAGACAAGGGGGTGGGCGCGGGGCACGCGGCGCGGAAGGGCCAAGGGCCGGCCGGGGCAGAACAAAGGCGGCCGCACCTGCGCGGGGCCGGGCCGGGCGCGGCGCGTACCTGTCTCGGCTCCTCCGCGGCGCAGGCTGCGCGGGCCGCCGCCGGGATGGCGCGATCGGGGCCGCGGGCCGTCAGCCGCCGCCTCCGGAACTGCCTCCGGTCAGCTCAGGCCGGGGCCGCGGCGGCGGGAGCGCGGGGCCGGGGTCGCCGCGGAGGGCGGGTCGCCGCGCGACCTGGGTGCGGGCGGGGCCGGCGCGGCGGCGAGCGGGCCTCCCGCAGGCCCCGCTGGTTGCCATGGAGACCGCGCGCGGCGGCGGCCGAGGCCCCGCCCCGGAAGTTCCTGGCGCAGTCCCGCCTCCCGGGGAGCTGCAGCAGCCAATCGGTGATGGCTGTGAGTACCGTTACTTGTTTCAGTAGGTGCGTTCTTTCTTTTTCTCTTTTATTCGCCCCGGGACTGTTTGCAGAGCTCTCCTTGTACGTTGTAATTATTGTTTAATGAAGGTTGCTTTTCACAGTGTGACCTGAGTGCAAGTTCAGTGTCCTCCCTAGCCATGTAGCGAATTCTGATGTTGGAAAAGTCTAAATTGTTCATACCGCCTGCAGAGAACAAATAGTAACATTCCTGTCGCTCCATCCAGTCGTTTTTATTTAAATATCATTATTTTTTAATTCTCGCCCGAGAACATGCTTAGAGAGAGGAAGGGAGGGAGAGTGAGAGGGAAACATCGATGTGAGAGAAAAGCATCAATTGGTTGCCTTCCCTACTCACCTCAAACCAGGGATCGAACCCGCTGCCCAGACATGTGCCCTGACCAGGAATCAACCGGCAACCTTTGGGAGCCCAGGCCAACTCTCAACCAACTAAGCCACTCCTGGGCCCCCGTCATTTTTAAACGGCATTTCGATTACACTAATTTCTGTATCTTCTGGACTGTTTTATGCCCCAATAACACACTGAATTTGGAGCTTTTCCCTCAAAGGCTTCCAAAGCCTGGCTTTCAAATAGTGCCTCGGCACTGTGCACCAGGATTGATGGAGCCATGCCCTTGTGATGAAACCTTCTTTTCCACGCGGACGTTTTTAAACCTTTATGTCTGTCTACAACCCCGGCCCCTTCCTCCCCCATTTCTCCAGGGAAAACCCCGTGGGGGAAATTACCGAGCCAAAGCGTACGAGCAGTTTGACTTGGGACCTGGGTGCCTCTCCCACTCGACCTTGCTGAGCTGCTTCTCCACGCCCGTCCCAGGCTGGGGCGTGGCTGGGGAGAGGATGCCCACCAGGACAGTTGGTTGTGGACGCAGTTCAAGGAGGAGGTGACTGCTGGCAGCCACACTCCTCCAACAGGCTCAGGACACAGTGAGCTCGCTCATGACCTGACTGTCTTTGCTTCTGTAAAAGGGAAATTAGGGCCTAAGGGTGTGAGTCCTTGGGGAGCAGCTCGCTGTCCTTTCAAATCTGTGTGCCCCCGTGTGCCAAAGGATGCGTGTTTTTTTTAATATATTTTTTATTTATTTCAGAGAGAAAGGGAGAGAGAGAGAAACATCAACGATGTTTCTATCCTACCCACTGCCCCCCACACACACACACTGGGATTGAGCCCCCAGCCCAGGCCTGTGCCCTGACTGGGAATCGAACCTTTATCTCCTGGTTTATAGGTCGATGCTCAACCAGGGAGCCACACAGACCTGTTTGGTGCTTGTTTTATGACCAGTGACGATTTCTGGGCATAAGGCAAGCAAGGAAAGAAAGGGACCTTGTTTCTTTAAACCCCCTCCTCAGCGTCTCTCAGGCAGGTGGGGGCGGGGGCTGTGGTAATCGTGACTGTGATCGACGGCTGAAGACACTGGCCTGGGTCCCTCTACCCCTCCCACCTCTCCCAAACACACAGGACCCTGCCCACTCCTGTGAGCCACCCATCCGTCTCTCTGCCCTCGGTGCCAGTCACACCGTCCCAGGCCCCGGGTACTGTGCATGTGACCAACGTGTCTGCCGGAATTCCAGGAGTGGCTGGCACTGTGTCTTAATTTCATGGTGCACTGACTATAAGGTGCACCATAAAAACAGAGCAATATTTAAAATGAACCCCTTTTTAAAAAAACCTCATTCTTTTTTAAAAATATATTTTATTGATTTTTTACAGAGAGGAAGGGAGAGGGATAGAGAGTTAGAAACATCAATGAGAGAAAAACATCCATCAGCTGCCTCCTGCACTCGCTCCACTGGGGATGTGCCCACAACCAAGGTACATGCCCTTGACCAGAATCGAACCTGGGACCTTTCAGTCTGCAGGCTGATGCTCTATTGACTGAGCCAAACCGGTTTCGGCTGAAAACCGCCCCCCCCCATTTTTTTTTTTAATGAGAAAAGCAGCAGAGTGTTTGGCATCTGATCCCTGCTCCGAGGCTCCCCTCTGCAGCCGACGCGGGACAGTGATCAGCTACAGTGACCGGAGTCGGCAGAGTGCAGACGCCAGATGACCCGGCTGTGCCAGGACCACACTCTGCCGAGGACTGACAGAGCCGAGCGGACAGAGCCCGGCCTGCCAGCGTCACGGGCTCCCTGTTGGAACCGGGGAGAGGGTCACCCCGCTATCAGGAAGGAGTCTGGAAAACCCGTCTCCCCGTCTCATGGAGCAGCGGGGGGCGGGCGGGGGGGGGGGGGCACATATAACCGCAGGAACCACGTGCCCTGGCTTGACAAGCAGACCCTGAAGGGCCAGGAGGTGGGAGCCGCGGCCGCCAACAGGAAGCATGTTCCTCCTGCAGACCGGGCGTGGCCGGGACAGCCCACGCTGCGCACAGAGCAGTGGCACAGAGAGGGGAATGTGAAAGACGGTCAAAGCCCAAAAATGAGTCTAAAAAGTCAAACTCGGAAGCCCATTAAGACATCTGATGCTGAGAGAACGGCACCCAAGTCAATAATTGTGACGTGAATTCACGCCGATGGCATCAGGTAACAGGACAGTCAGGAGTGACGGGCTGTACAGGAAGCGGGCGCGGAATCCTCCATGGGATTGAGGAAACAGCGTCTCTGGGAAGAATAGGTGTGTGTATGGGGGGGGGGGGCATGTCAGCAGGAAGGAGGCTGTGAATGTGGGTCAGAGGAGGAAAGACAGTGTGCTCCTCCCCCTCTCCCCTCCCAGCAGAGCACCCCTGCAAACAGCCTCGGCAGACAGCTGAGCTGTTCAGGGCCCAAGAATGACACCGTGGGAATCACTTGAGTGTCTTTTGTGTCGTGTTCCTCAGACTGGAAGCTGAATAGACTAGCAACCTGGCAATGCCGGTGAATGCAGACAAAAAGGCCCCCAAAAGCTTGCTCGCTCCGCCAAAGAACCAGGAAAGGAACAGCCTGAGACCACCACGCGTGCCAACAAAAGCCTAGGCGGCAATGTGGACTGGCGCCCCTGCCGGGTGGGATTGCGAGAGATCAGGAAGCATGTCAGAATGGCTAAAACAGAAAATAGCGGCAGCACCAGTGAGGGGGCAGACAACGGGAGACACTGCAAAGGGGGCCCCTCACAGGATGCCCCGATTGCCCTCTCACAATGCAGGACTGCTGGTTCCCAGCGGCTCGCCTGCCTGCCTTCCTGAGTGCCCCTAACCGCTTCTGCCTGCCAGCCTGATCACCCCCTAACCACTCCCCTGCCCAGCCTGATTGATGCCTAACTGCTCCCCTGCCAGCCCAGTTGCCTCTAACTGCTCTCCCCTGCAAGCCTGATCGCCCCTTGGGAAGCAAAGAACCGGCCCAGGGAGGAGGGTGGGCAGAGTCTTCACGCGGGCAGGGTCGCCATTCAAACTGGGATGCTTCTGAGAGCAAAACAAGTAGCCAGCGATGACGGCCAGAACGCACCCTCAGGAACATCGCAAAGTGGTGACGTACCGGTGGGCCTGCAACACCGGCCAGGCTGCTGGTGTTTTCTGAATAACACTTTCCCCCTCAAACACGGCCTTACTAGTCTTCCTGTGTCACAAAACCACTGAGTCTTGCTCCAAATTGCATCCTGAGGTGGTAAATTTAAGTCTGTTGACATTCTCTTCCTTTTTAAAAAACGTTTGTTTTTTTTTTTAAGAGAGAGAAACATTGATGTGAGAGACACCGATCAGCTGCCTCCCACACAGACCCCGGCCGAGGATCAAGCCCGAAATCTGGGCTTGGGCCCTGACCTGGACTCGAACCGGTGACCTCTCGGTGCATGGGATGGCACTCAGCCAGCCGAGCCACGCTGGCCAGGCTCTGCTGACAGCATCAATGAACTCTTCTTTATGGACCGTATTTCAACTGAGAAATCCTCTTCCTGCAGGGACTGAGGAGCCAGTCAATCCTACTCCATTCCGGGTCTGTTCTTCGACAAATATTTCTGTAAGCAAAATGTGCATCCCCCTCAAAATTGGACTCTGATTGCTTAGAATGTTCCATCAAATTTAAATGCTGCAAGGTTGTGGGCCCTCTGGGTTTCTTTCCATCCCAACGCAGAATATAAATTTCTTCTAATTAAACGAGGAATCTCATCGAAAAGCGCTTCCCACACGCTGGGCTGTTCCAAAAGCAGTTACGGGGTTTGAGGGTTCGAACGTCAGACCTCGAACACCATGGGAGCCCTCGCCCTCAGTGCCCGCCCCTCCCCACCTCCCTGGGGGCGGATGTCCGAGTTTCCCCGATGGCAAGGGCAGTGTCGGATGAGGACGGCTCCCTGCATTTTCAAAGCTCAGGGTCCCGGCCCTCCTCGCTCAGACACTTTGATTGAAGATTTCTCACCGGCTCTGAACACAATGCAGCAGAAGCTTCGAGGATGCCTTCACAAAGGTCCAGTCCCTCCCACTCGGGGCACGCGGTAGGTCTTCAGGGTCCCGGCTTCGGCGTCCCGTCAGGGACTGCAGCGGAGACCAGAGGACACCCCGGAGCTCCAGCCTATTTCTGAAGAGCATCCGCTTTCTCCACAATGCCTGTGGCCTCGTTCCTCCACCCAGGTACACACCAGTGTTCCTAAAATATCTTCTTATTGACTTCAGAGAGGCAGGGAGCGGGAGAGAGAAACATCCAGGAGGAGAGACAATCACTGATCTGCTGCCTCCTGCGGCAGGTTTTCGTCCCCTGCCAGGGCGAATGGTGGATTCCAGCTGGAGGCGATCACAAACCTTCCAGCACGTTCTGTGCATCTTTGGGGACCATCGGTGCGCCTTCCCACCGCGTCTGCACCCAGGGGCGCCGTGGCGGGTCCTGCGGGGCCCAGGGCTGCGGGGTTCATATTGCCATGCCGCAGCCTGGAGGCTGAGCCTGTGGGT